AAACAAGGTAGACCTCAAACTCTGACAGACACTATACGGCTAGCTGTGGAACTGGAGGCCTACACTCGAGCTGAAAAGAAATGGAGTGATGGTAAAGCTCATCTGAGATCCACAAACACAGAGGACAGTCCTACTACAGAGAAGGCTAGTGTGACTACAGAGAAAGCTAGTCAGAACTCTGATATGTCTAGTCTATTAAAAGGCATACAACAGCAACTACAGTCCTTACAAGATGAGGTAGTGAAGCTGAAAGGAAGTAATAGGAATTCAAGTCAGCAAAGACCAAATAAAGACAAGGCTAGTCGAAAAACTTGCTACTATTGCAATGAGGAGGGTCATTTTCGCAGGAATTGCCCGAAGTTGAAAAATCAGGCAACCACTGACAATGGAGCAGATAAGCCAGTGGCGAAGCGAGTTAGAACTCGGAGAAGACGGAAACAGACTGAACAGAAGGCTAATATAGGAGTCTCATCAGCTGTTCATGAAGCTGGCATGTATATTAAGACTGACATACATGGTGCCAAGGCAAAGTTGTTGGTCGATACAGGGACAACCATAACTTTGATATCTGAAAATCTGTATAACCACATTTCTCAGGCGGCTAGACCCAAGTTAAAGCCTATAAGTAAAGAGATCTTAACAGCAAGTGGAGACAAATTACCAGTCCTCGGACAAGGGAGGTTTAACATCAGATTGGAGGACGACACCAACATACTGGTAGAAGCGGTTGTTGCGAAACTCACCACAGATGGCATTCTAGGTCTTGATGTTATGATACGGAGAAATGTAACTCTGGATTTGGCTAAGGGTTGTCTTACCTTGGATGGAGTGAATGTTGAGGCTAAATATGAGGGAACTATGGGTTGTTTCCGAGTGTGTACAACTGAGAAGATTGTAGTACCAGCAAAATCAGAGGTCATAGTCTCTGGGAAGGTGTGTGTGCCTGATGGTAAGGCCATGCAGGGGAACGCCTTACTAGTGGAAGGATTTGAATCTTTTTTGAAGAGCGACCATACTATCATTGGTCGTTCACTGGTGGACAATACAGCTACAGTGCCTGCACGCATGATGAATTTGGGGATTGGCCAATATAGAGAGGAACACCTTGCGTTGTGAGCAGTGTGACTTCATTACGACAAGGAAGGCGTACCTAAAAACGTCATCAAAAGAGGCATGAGGCGGTTACGGGACAAGGCAGTTCCCAACGTGCTGGCGATGAGGAAGCAGCTGGAACGTCCGTTGATGACTGGCAGCATCAAGACCCAGGGGACTTGATTGTTTCCAGCTCCGAGGATGAGGATATCGAGTCCTCTGACAGTGAAGTTGTCGAGAAAGACAATGAGGAACTGCTATCTAGAAGGATCGTTAGAAAGAGAACGCAGCCTTCCCTGCCAATCTCTTTGAAACGTCCACGGACGACTGGGGCAGCCCCAAATCAAGCAGAGAAGCTCCATCCTAAAGACATTAGGAACACGATACCCTATGCGGTTACGGTTGCCAGTACCTCCAGGGTAAGGCAGGCACCGTTGATGAAGACAGTGGCCGTACAAACCCTTCCTGTGCAGTCGAGGAGTACCGTCACCAAAACGACGAGATACCCCGAGGGCGAAAAGTCCATTGAGATTGTCGAGTTCGATGAAGTTCTCAATTTGTGTCCTTGTTGTTCGAGGAGCCAGTAGGCAAGAGAGAATAATGAAAGAATAGGACTTGGATCGTTCGTTCAGGGACAATGACAAAGTTATGTTTCGAATCATAGTGTATATTTTTGATTGATGTCATTACATCTTGGAGAGTTCAGTATCAGAGTTGTTTTATTTTTATAACGCGAGGACGCGTTGTTCTCGGAGGCGTGGGTAATGTGATGAATGTACATATCGTAATCCTACCTTCGCTGATTTAGCATATTATTCAGGTTAGATACGTTGATCTGTTGGCGTTAATCATTTGTGTTATGTCTCCGTAATTCGAACGCTTAGAAGACAGATAGTTTTCGAGGTACAATCAAAACGTACAGGTGATTATACCTCACTCACCGCTAGGTGTCGCTAGGATAGCAAGAGGGTATAAATAGGCAGAATCCAGCGACAATCGGCCCAGTTCTGTTTCGATCTTGGCGTGTTCACAGCAGTGACAGATCGTAAGTACCTAATATATGTGAGACCGGCTTTGTGTTGGAAAGATAGAAGTGACTGAATAAGTCTTGCCTTGATCCACACACTGCCTGGAAGATATATTAAATAAACGATTGAGTGCTGTAGCGAGATACTGTTAGACAGAAGGTGTCACGGGCATAGGCTGTGCAGTGCTAGTCGCGACCAGGCTAGTCCTGACTAGGTATAGTCGTTGGTGCTAGTCGTGACCAGGCTAGTCGTGACAAGTAATAGTCGTTAGAGCTAGTCGTGACTAGGGATAGTCGTGGTCATTAGAGAGTGCTGTAGTTGTATACTAGTATGAGGCTGTCGTGATCGGCGCGACTAGGTCATATAGCTAGGTAGCTGACTATAGGGCAACTATAGTGACTAGGGCTAGCCGCGACTAGGTAGTCGAGTTGTGTACTGCCTGGATTGTACGGTAGTGTGTGTAGTGTGTTATATTGATACAGAGCAGATAGCTTTGGTAATAGTTCTATAGTCGTGCAGTAATTATTCTGTTCATATCATGTATTAAGCATTAGGTAATAGGTATGCTGGTTACAAGGTAGTAACACATATTTGTATATATTTGCAACTGTAGTATAGTTATAATTAAGCTTACAGCACAGGGATCCTTAGAAGTGACTAGGGTACGGACCCCGGAACGTTACACTTTGAGCAAAACCACGGAAGGCCTGATGATGTCACAAATATTGCTGCGTGACGTCATTCAGGCGTGTTTACAACAATGTTTATTTATATGCATTTCAGTCGAATCTTCTTCTGTTTTGGTGCTCGTCAGCATTTTGATACATGCCTATTTTGTAGAATTATTAACAGAAACCCTTACTAATGTGACCAATTTGCCTTCACTGACGTTACTCCACAGCGTCGATCTGCTTCTGACTTTAAGTATGAAAAGACTTAAGCCTGCATTACTATATAGTAGGGTATGATAAATTTGGTACTGCTCCGGACTCTTGGAGGGTGACTTACTTAATCCTCCTTGTCCCATAAGGCATCAACAATGCGTCTCCATTTGTGTCTGTCATTGGCAACGTGTTGTGCCGTTGCCCCCTGAAAGCCTCATCTCTATCAGTTCCTGTACGTTATGTGTTATGGTGGGTCTCACCGTATGATATCGGTATGACCATACACCTGAGGGGCGGCTCCAAGAAATTTGAAGAGTGATGGGGGTTTAGTATTTGTTGAAGTTATACATGTAGACATCTGAGAAAAACCTGTATAGCTTAAAAAAATCAGCTGAGCCAGCAACCAGGTAGATGAATTGGTGACAGCTAGCAGACATCTATAGAGGTCAGAGGTCTCGGTGTGGGTCAAACCCTGATCTGGCGTGCATTTTTCCACTCCCGTTACAGTGGTGCCTGTGACAAACCCTTGCTTGAAGTATTTTATGCTTGTCAAGGGGAAAGCTGAACTTTAGGTGTAAATACTGTTGTTTTCGGGTGGGCAAGACTTAGAAAAAAAAGAGAGGAATGTCGTGGATGGGATTGAGTTGATTGCTGACAAGCACGTAGCCCAGCTTGTTAGATCCTCTGTTTAGAAGGTTTGAGGGTCCTGGGTTCAATTTCTATAACTCAATCTTCCATTACAGCAAATACTAGTACATAGTAAATTTTATTAGTAATTACATGTGAAGGATAAACACACTGGGCCAACATGGATTTTACTGGAGATGAATTGGTGACTGGACAAAGTTTCCCGCTATACAATGTACTGTACACTGGGAAACTTTGGCAAATATTCACCCATGTTCTCATCGTGTCAATTCACCATTCATATGTAATTCAGTATGAATTAACGTTGTGTACATGTACTAATATTCACTGTCATGATAAACTTGCCCTCATTGCAGAGGGCGAAAAGGTGAAAGTATCATGTGAAGTTCTTGATTATATTTGACCTCAGAGTCACTTCGAGTAACCATTGGAGAAATCACAGATTATATTTGACCTCAGAGTCATTGTGAGTAAGCATTGGAGAAATCACAGATTTCATGATGAAATTAATATAAGAAAAGAATAAAGACACATTTGAATAGAAGCTGCATGTGCATGGATTATGTATTTATCCTGCAATAAGCCCAGGGGTCAACAAATGACATCTAATTCAAAGAACGAGGACTGGGCTTATGATGGATTATGAATGTCATTTGTTGGTATTCCTACTGAAGTACAAGAGAAATGAATGGGCTTATTACCAGGCATGGACTTATTGTCAGATAAATGGAGTAAGCTGGAATGTCTCTGTGATGTTGCTCAATAATGACACATTTAATTGTTCTTGTGTAATTATTGTTGTAGGTATTCCAGAAAGCCAAGATGTACATAGTCGCAGATTACCTCCTGGATCAAATGGACCAGAAAAAAATAGCAAATGTGGAGGAGTGGTACAATGGAAACAACCCTGACTCCACTGTGTCGTCTCTCGGTGCTAATCTATCCAGCATGAAAGTCACACAAGACATCAATGACGATCCCAAAATGACACTGTACAACAAACCAAAATTGAATGATTCAGACTTTGCATCAGAGAGTATGTCTAGCAGTGGTTCGGAGATGGCGACATCTTGTGCATTCACTAGCAAGCCTTCCGCTGACTGCGAAGCTGCTAATTACGTTGTTGGTAAAAGCTTGTCTAACATGGGAGACCAATTGTCATGTCAGCCTGCTTGCCAATTCCCAACCCGAGAGGAATCAAAACATTCTTCCATAGGATCTCCTTCCCTAGTGGGTAAAAATGACTCCCAGGGACTACATCCCTCTCAAGTGGGTAAAAATGATGCTTCACTACAACAGGCCTCCCAAGTTTGCACAGAGGAGACCCCACGTCAGTGTTTCTGCACCTCTTCCCGTGAAATAAGTTATACCATGCTCCAAAACTTTACCAGGAACTTTGCCGAGTTAGACGTGTCAAGGGGAGGTAATATGATTGGGTGTGGTGGTTTTGGTGTGGTATTTATTGCTGAATCACCTCATGGTTGCAAAGCTGCTGTAAAACAGTTGCGACATCCCGGCGATCCGTTAATGGAGAAACAATTCCAAACAGAATTAGAAAAATTGTCTAAATTCCGACATGAAAATATTGTGTCATTGCTGGGGTACTCTGTTGATGGTTCTAAGAAGTGTTTGGTGTACGACTATATGCCAAATGGGTCGCTGGAGGAACGTCTCTGCTGCTTTAGAAAAACAGAACCGTTACCATGGAAACGTAGACTTGAGATTGTCACGGGGACGGCACGTGGGATTGTGTTTTTGAACAGCCAAGGTGAGGTGCATCGTGACATTAAAAGTGCCAACGTGTTGCTGGATGAAAACTTTGTCCCAAAGGTGGGGGATTTTGCTACAGTGAGGACAGGGCCATCGGGAAGCAGCACAACAGCTATGGAAACCATGCAGGTGATTGGTACCTCTGCCTATATGGCGCCTGAGGCGATCAGGTTTGATGTTTCTGCCAAGTTGGACTCCTTTGCCTTTGGAGTGGTCTTACTGGAGGTCCTGACTGGGCTATCACCCAATGACCCGCGTCGGGAGGAAGCCGATCTTTGGAGTTATGTTCAGGAGACTTGTGATGATAATGAGAGCATTAAAGATCTTCTAGACAAATCTGCTGGGGACTGGAATGTTAACGTAGCCATCGCTGTGTTTGTCATTGCCCAGAAATGTCTCCATGATAAGAAGAAAAAGCGTGTTCTAGTGGCAGACATCTTACCCGACCTTGAGCAGTTCATACAGACATGCTGTTCTGACACCTTTGTGTAGTTCAATGTACTTTAATCTGATAAGGCCTGCATGGGATCAGATTTTTTACCAAATGGCACAAGATATGACATGCAAGATACAATAATACAATTATAGCTCACAAGAGCTAATTATGTTTCCTCATTATATATGTAACTTTTAACGAAGCTCCTTGTATAGTTAGCTATTGTCCATTGTCCGTCCGTCGGTCCATCCATCAGAACAACTTCTTCTGAAGAACTGGAGGACCGAGGCTCATGGTATTTGGCCAGTAGGTACCTGGGATGGAGTGCTATAAAGTTTCTTCATTAAAATGACCTTTACCTAGTTTCTAATAGCCGATATGAATGCCAACTGAATTTGGTAGGGTGATATAGTTGCAATGCCATAAAATAGTAAATATTCATGTATGACTTCCATTTAAAGATAACATGACTGTTAAAACTTTTAACTTATCTTAGCTCCATTAGATAACTGAAGATGTTAAGTAGTCTTCGCTTCATTAGATATCTGTCAATAATTTCATTGAATTGCTTCATCAAATGTTTGTCGAAACTTTTATAAGCTTTGCTTCATTATATGTTTGTTGATACTTTTATAAGACTTGGCTACCTTAGACGTCTGTTGAGACTTTTATAAGACTTGGCTACCTGAGACGTCTGTTGAGACTTTTATAAGACTTGGCTACCTTAGACATCTGTTGAGACGTTTATAAGACTTGGCTACCTTAGATGTTTGTTGAGACTTTTATAAGACTTGGCTACCTTAGACGTCTGTTGAGAGGTTTATAAGACTTGGCTACCTTAGACGTCTGTTGAGACTTTTATAAGACTTGGCTACCTTAGATGTCTGTTGAGACTTTTATAAGACTTGGCTACCTTAGACGTCTGTTGAGACTTTTATAAGACTTGGCTACCTTAGACGTCTGTTGAGACTTTTATAAGACTTGGCTACCTTAGACGTCTGTTGAGACTTTTATAAGACTTGGCTACCTTAGACGTCTGTTGAGACTTTTATAAGACTTGGCTACCTTAGACGTCTGTTGAGACTTTTATAAGACTTGGCTACCTTAGACGTCTGTTGAGACTTTTATAAGACTTGGCTACCTTAGACGTCTGTTGAGACTTTTATAAGACTTGGCTACCTTAGACGTCTGTTGAGACTTTTATAAGACTTGGCTACCTTAGACGTCTGTTGAGACTTTTATAAGACTTGGCTACCTTAGACGTCTGTTGAGACTTTTATAAGACTTGGCTACCTTAGACGTCTGTTGAGACTTTTATAAGACTTGGCTACCTTAGACGTCTGTTGAGACTTTTATAAGACTTGGCTACCTTAGACGTCTGTTGAGACTTTTATAAGACTTGGCTACCTTAGACGTCTGTTGAGACTTTTATAAGACTTGGCTACCTTAGACGTCTGTTGAGACTTTTATAAGACTTGGCTACCTTAGACGTCTGTTGAGACTTTTATAAGACTTGGCTACCTTAGACGTCTGTTGAGACTTTTATAAGACTTGGCTACCTTAGACGTCTGTTGAGACTTTTATAAGACTTGGCTACCTTAGACGTCTGTTGAGACTTTTATAAGACTTGGCTACCTTAGACGTCTGTTGAGACTTTTATAAGACTTGGCTACCTTAGACGTCTGTTGAGACTTTTATAAGACTTGGCTACCTTAGACGTCTGTTGAGACTTTTATAAGACTTGGCTACCTTAGACGTCTGTTGAGACTTTTATAAGACTTGGCTACCTTAGATGTCTGTTGAGACTTTTATAAGACTTGGCTACCTTAGATGTTTGTTGAGACTTTTATAAGACTTGGCTACCTTAGACGTCTGTTGAGACTTTTATAAGACTTGGCTACCTTAGACGTCTGTTGAGACTTTTATAAGACTTGGCTACCTTAGACGTCTGTTGAGACTTTTATAAGACTTGGCTACCTTAGACGTCTGTTGAGACTTTTATAAGACTTGGCTACCTTAGACGTCTGTTGAGACTTTTATAAGACTTGGCTACCTTAGACGTCTGTTGAGACTTTTATAAGACTTGGCTACCTTAGACGTCTGTTGAGACTTTTATAAGACTTGGCTACCTTAGACGTCTGTTGAGACTTTTATAAGACTTGGCTACCTTAGACGTCTGTTGAGACTTTTATAAGACTTGGCTACCTTAGACGTCTGTTGAGACTTTTATAAGACTTGGCTACCTTAGACGTCTGTTGAGACTTTTATAAGACTTGGCTACCTTAGATGTCTGTTGAGACTTTTATAAGACTTGGCTACCTTAGACGTCTGTTGAGACTTTTATAAGACTTGGCTACCTTAGACGTCTGTTGAGACTTTTATAAGACTTGGCTACCTTAGATGTCTGTTGAGACTTTTATAAGACTTGGCTACCTTAGACGTCTGTTGAGACTTTTATAAGACTTGGCTACCTTAGACGTCTGTTGAGACTTTTATAAGACTTGGCTACCTTAGATGTCTGTTGAGACTTTTATAAGACTTGGCTACCTTAGACGTCTGTTGAGACTTTTATAAGACTTGGCTACCTTAGACGTCTGTTGAGACTTTTATAAGACTTGGCTACCTTAGATGTCTGTTGAGACTTTTATAAGACTTGGCTACCTTAGACGTCTGTTGAGACTTTTATAAGACTTGGCTACCTTAGACGTCTGTTGAGACTTTTATAAGACTTGGCTACCTTAGACGTCTGTTGAGACTTTTATAAGACTTGGCTACCTTAGACGTCTGTTGAGACTTTTATAAGACTTGGCTACCTTAGACGTCTGTTGAGACTTTTATAAGACTTGGCTACCTTAGACGTCTGTTGAGACTTTTATAAGACTTGGCTACCTTAGACGTCTGTTGAGACTTTTATAAGACTTGGCTACCTTAGACGTCTGTTGAGACTTTTATAAGACTTGGCTACCTTAGACGTCTGTTGAGACTTTTATAAGACTTGGCTACCTTAGACGTCTGTTGAGACTTTTATAAGACTTGGCTACCTTAGACGTCTGTTGAGACTTTTATAAGACTTGGCTACCTTAGACGTCTGTTGAGACTTTTATAAGACTTGGCTACCTTAGACGTCTGTTGAGACTTTTATAAGACTTGGCTACCTTAGATGTCTGTTGAGACTTTTATGAGACTTGGCTACCTTAGATGTCTGTTGAGACTTTTATAAGACTTGGCTACCTTAGACGTCTGCTGAGACTTTTATGAGATTTGGCTACCTTAGACGTCTGTTGAGACTTTTATGAGATTTGGCTACCTTAGATGTCTGTTGAGACTTTTATAAGACTTGGCTACCTTAGACGTCTGTTGAGACGTTTATAAAACTTGGCTACCTTAGACATCTGTTGAGACTTTTATAAGACTTGGCTACCTTAGACGTCTGTTGAGACTTTTATAAGACTTGGCTTCCTTAGACGTCTGTTTATTAGAATTGGTATAGATGACAGTTAAGACTTTGAGTTGTCTTAGCTTCATTACACTCCATTTCTATTGCCTTTACATTTCACCAAATTAAAAGGTTTATCACACATCCAGATATATGTGCAAAATTTGTTAGTATTTCTTAAATAAATTTGAGAATGTCATCATTTTAACACAATTTAGAAATAGGAAAACAGGTATTATTCAAATATAAATTCATTTTTTATTTATGCAATTTTTCCATGTGAGTGATTACAGGTGTCACTTGTGGTATGTGTATTAGACCGATACCTTTAACAATGGAAACAATCAATCTAATGACATAATAATGTTAATTATCAGAGGAGGAAGTTGTCAGTGTGGGATCAAACCTGGTACAAGAATCTGTTACCACAGACAAGGCCAAGATTTTTATCATTTATGATGCCTTGTAATGAATATGATGCCTTGTAATCAATTCTGTATCAAACAAAACAAAAGAAAGACAGGAAAAATTGTTCTACTGATATCTTTATTTTCATAGTCCTGTACAAAAAAACAGCGATACTTGTAAATAAACAAGAGATCCCAGAAAAATAGTGATACTTGTAAATAAACAAGAGATCCCAGAGGGATCTTGGCGCCCACTATTGTACCATCTTCATTAGTTCTTTGTCAGTTCGATCTTTTCTCTTCTTTCCTCTAATCTGTTTGATCGAGTCATGTTAACAGTAAATGCACCTTGAGGTAACTTTTGATCTAAACTTAGTACTGATGTGTATGAAAGCCAACCTTCAAAGTGAGTATGTCATTTCACATATTTACTAGTACAGTACTTAATGGGAAAGAAATAGAATCGATCATTGCAATATGAAAAAGATCTGTTTAGTTCTTCTTTTAGCCATTACTTTTTTATGATCAGTCTCAAAATATAACATGCACAACGAGGGATCAAGGGGAATCTACATATCAAATTTGAGAAAGATCCCTGAAGTTATTCCTGAGAAATAGTACTAACAAACCTTCAATGTCAAAAATCGAAGATAGCTGTCGGTAGGCCATTTTGTTTAACTGATCAGATTCAAAGTAAACATGAACAATAAAGGATAGTGGGGAATCTGCATTGGCTGGCCCCCAAATTTTGTTTGGGGCGAGTAAAAAGTTTGAAGCACTGCCCCAAATTAAACATATTGCATTGGTGGGCCAAATAATTTTGGGAAGAAATATTTCCACAGCATTTAACACAATGCTTCAGCACATTTAAATTACATATAACATGATAATGTTTGGAATATGTAAAACAGAATAAAACATTATATTTTTGATTCTTCAACCCTAGTTAAAACCTGACATGATCCACTCCATTCAGGCTTCCCAAAAAGAAATACACAAAACTTGCACCTCAAAGAAGACACCCTGGCACTATATATATAGAAAATCTGAAAAGAAAAATCATCACATTTTCTAAATCACACACAGTTCGATTCAAATCGAAGTAATGACAACGGAAAAATGTACTGCCCCCCCCCCCCCTCCCGTTAATGTGGAAAGGACAGTCATCCAAACTATTTTTGTTGTGCCAGTGACTACCTTATTTTTGACAACTTTTGGTCGCTAAGACTTGAACCGCAATTGGCGAGGAGACGACCATCCATTTCAGGCACTGTGCACTGCACAACAACGGAAGCCTTCATATAAAATTTGAGAAAGATCCTTCCCGTACTTCTACTTCCCGAAAAATAGCGATAACAAACTTTCAATATCAAAATCAAAGATGGCTGCCTGTAGGCCATGTTGTTTATATGATCAATCTCAAATGTTGCCCTGCATAGCTACGGACCAAGGGAAACATACATATAAAATTTGAGAAAGAACCCTC